AACACCACAATCAATTACCCCCCCCCCCTCCCACAACCCTTCACCTCCACCTCAAAACCCTTCACCACCTCACCACAATCAATTACCTCCCTAAAACAACCTTTCACCTCCCGACCACAATCAATTACCTCCCTAAAACAACCCTCACCTCCCGACCACAATCAATTACCTCCCCATCACAACCCTTCAACTCCCCACCACAATCAATTTTCTCCCCGCAACAAACCTTCAGCTCCCAGCCACAATCCTTAACCTCCCCACCACAATCAATTACCTTCCCCTCACAACCCTTCACCTCCCCCTCACAACCCTTCACCTCCTCACCACAATCAATTACCTCCCTAAAACAACCTTTCCCCTCCCGACCACAATCAATTACCTCCCCATCAGAACCCTTCACCTCTCCCTCACAACCCTTAACCTCCAAACCACAATGAATTACCCTCCCTCACAACCCCACCTCTCCCAGCCACAACCCTTAACCTCCCCACCACAATCAATTACCTCCCCCTCACAACCTCTAATCTCTCCACCACAACCCTTCAACACCCACCCCAACAATCAATCACCTCCCTCTCACAACCCTTCACCTCCCCAACACAATCAATTATCTCAACACCACAATCAATTACCCCCCCCCACACACAACCCTTCACCTCCCCCTCACAACTCTTCACCTCCCCACCACAATCAATTACCTCCCCCTCACAACCCTTCACCTGCCCCTCACAACCTTTCACCTCTCCCCCACAACCCTTCACCTCCCAACCACAATCAATTATCTCCCCACCACAATCAATTACCTCCCCCTCACAACATTTCTCCTCCCCACCACAATCAATCACCTCCCCAAAAAACCCTTCATCTCCCCGCTACAACCTTTCACTTCTCCGCCACAACCGTTCACTTCCCCACCACAATCAATTATCTCCCCCTTACAACCCTTCACCTCCCCACCACAATCAATTATCTCCCCACCACAATGAATTACCTCCTCCCTCACAAACCTTCACCTCCTAACCCCAATCAATTACCTCCCCCTCACATCCCTTCACCTCCCCCACACAACTCTTCATCTCCCCACCACAATCAATTACCTCCCCCTCACAACCTTTCACCTCCCCACCACAATCAATTACCTCCCCCTCACAACCCTTCACCTCCCCACCACAATCAATTAACTCCCCGCTACAACCCTTCACCTCCCCACCACAATCAATTACCTCCCCCTCACCACCCATCACCTCCCCACCACAACCCTTCACCTCCCCGCCACAACCCTTCATCTCTCCGCCACAACCGTTCACTTCTACACTACAATAAATAACCTCCCCCTCACAACCCTTTACCTCCCCGCCACAACCCTTCACCTCCCCACCACAATCAATTACCTCCCCCTCACAACCTCTCATCTCACAACCACAACCTTTCATCCCCACCCACTCAATCAATCACCTCCGCCTCACAACCCTTCACCTCTCCCCCACAACCCTTCACCTCCCCACCACAATCAATTAACTCCCCGCTACAACCCTTCACCTCCCCACCACAATCAATTACCTCCCCCTCACCACCCATCACCTCCCCACCACAACCCTTCACCTCCCCGCCACAACCCTTCACCTCGCCGCCACAACCGTTCACTTCTACACTACAATAAATAACCTCCTCCTCACAACCCTTCACCTCCCCGCCACAACCCTTCACCTCCCCACCACAATCAATTACCTCCCCCTCACAACCTCTCATCTCACAACCACAACCCTTCATCCCCAGCCACTCAATCAATCACCTCCGCCTCACAACCCTTCACCTCTCCCCCACAACCCTTCACCTCCCAACCACAATCAATTACCTCGCCCTCACAATCCCCCCCCCCAACCCTTAACCTCCCAACCACAATCAACTACCCCCCTCACAACCCTTCACCTCCGCGCCACAACCCTTAATCTCCCCACCACAATCAATTACCTCCCCCTCATAACCTCTCAAGTCTCCACCAAAACCCTTCACCCACCCCTGACACAATCAATTACTTTCCCCATCACAACCCTTCACCTCTCAATTACCTCCCCCTCACAGCCTTTCACCTCTCCACCACAATCAATTACCTCGCCCTCACAACCCCCCCCCCCCCCCTCACAACCCTTAACCTCCCAACCACAATCAATTACCCCCCTCACAACCGTTCACCTCCCCGCCAGAACCCTTAATCTCCCCACCACAATCAATTACCTCCCCCTCATAACCTCTCATCTCTCCACCAAAACCCTTCACCCATCCCCTACACAATGAATCACCTCCCCCTTAGAACCCGTCACCTCCCCACCACAATCAATTACCTCCCCCTCACAACCCATCACCTCCCCACCACAATAAATTACCTCTCCCTCACAACCCTTCACTTCCCCGCCACAACCCTTAACCTCCACACCACAATCAATTACCTCCCCCTCACAACCCATCACCTCCCCACCACAAAAAATTACCTCTCCCTCATAACCCTTCACCTCCCCGCCACAACCCTTAACCTCCACACCACAATCAATTACCTCCCCCTTACAACCCATCACCTCCCCACCACAATAAATTACCTCTCCCTCACAACCCTTGACATCGCCACCACAATCAATTGCATCCCCCCCCCACCCCCGACCCCACCCCCGCCCCCACCCCCACCCCCACCCCACCCCCCAAACACACACACACCCTCACGACCTATCACGTCCCCACCACGATCTATTACCTCCACCCCACAACCTTTCCCTTGTGAGCACCTCTCTACATCTAGCTCAACCATTGTCACAACCCCGCACCTCACCATCTCAACTCTGGAATCTAAACCTTAACACCCCTGCCAAATCACAATCCCGCACATATCCACCTTGCCCCATGAGCGAGGTTTTGGTGTAGATTCTAACACTGTTATCAAACAAACGCTGCTCTGAATTGTAATACAGAAGTTTTCATTCATATCAGTTCATTAGAACGCCACGTCACTCCAAAAGTGTACTAATTTTCACTTTAAATCATCCACCTCACCTACACCTCGCCCACACCCTCCACTACACTACACGTTTCACCTGCTGTGCCAGCCACGCACTAGTCATACCCTTCACTCCTCCATTGTATCCAGTCCAGACCCCATTTACTGACACTTACTGCCTGTTGTACAGGCCAGCTAATCCAGCTTGTGCAGAGCTCACCGCTCAGTTGTGATACACATCCAGGTCACTAGGATTTGTCAAGCCCCTTTCCCTGGGAGTACAGTGGTGGCGTGCCTACTATGTGTTAGGGAAGCAGGAAGTATAAGCCAGGGAATGTCTAGTTATGAGATGGCTTGCAAAATTGCCTCATCTAACTTAATAACTATAAATATAACACTACAGAAAGCTTGTATGAGTTTTTTATAATTTATCACGTTATATTCGAATTGGTCGTCTACACATTTGGGCAATTCTACCTATTTCTGACAACTGGCATACGCGCCATGGCCCATTCACTCAGTAAGATTGCAATTGGGCACCGGCTATAAACCTGCCAGATATGCACAATCAGGATGCTTGCGGAGGCGTTAATATACAGTTTCAAATGACTCAGATAGTACGAAAATTCAGTAGCAGTCATGTATAGCTTCCCAGCATGTTTATTGATAGCTCAAATGTGTGAATTGGTGGCACAGAATGCATTTCAAAGTATGTCCCGAATATCTCGAAGACGATAATTCAGTGCACGGTTGACACACAAGCATTGTAAATTAGTAAACACTATCCACTTATCACTGTATTCATCAAACAATACCAACTCTATCCTGTACCTATGCTTCCAACTCCGATTTAGTACTTTTTTTAAAACCAACCTACTTCCAGACAAATGGGGGTTCCAAACGCTTTATAATATGACGATAGAATAAAGTATCTTAACATATCCTTTCAATGTAAATATGAACAAATGTTGCGAATCATGAACAACAAATGTCACTACCCAGTATTAGAACAGGGATGAAAGTTGATGGCATACATCCCATGCATGGACGTTTATGTATCTGAAACGTAAAACCAAACACAAAAACTGGTGCCAATCTCGTATATTGACATAAGGGGAAAGCTCAATCATCCGTCAATCATAAAATAGTACTCCATTGAAGTTGGTCGTTCTGAACAAGGAAACACTCGTGTTTCTGCTGTGTTTCCTTTTTCAATTAGGCGATTGTTAGAAACGGGACACCAAAACAAAATTTAGTAAAGATGACTGTTCCTCACTGACAGCAAAAAATAGATGTGGACAATAATCGCCTCATATATTTAAAATATTAGGGGCACACCCTACAATTTACATGCGGTGAACGAAGGAGCGCCTCACAAACGTCATACCTAACGGGATCAAGGTATCAGTACTGCGTATCTGATAAACATTAGTTAAGCTTCTAATATTAAATAATAAATTGAGTCCATTGAGCATCAAGTTTTACAATAAGTGTACAATAGATTATTTATAAGAAACATCCTGGTGCCAATCTTGGACATAGACATAAAGGGTAAGCTCAATAATCGGTAAATCATAAAATATTACTTTACGCTGAGCAAGGATGTTTGTGTTGTGTTTCCTTCCCTGATCTACATTAGACACAGACCTCTCAACTTCAGGCCCCATGTCATACCGCCCCAACACTGCACCTTGTGATCTGAACCTCTGATTTCCAAACTCAATACTTTGCCTTACAACTACAAACCAACAACTCCCTTTCGCAACTGCACAGTCTTTCACTACAAACCTGCACTCCCCCAACCCGCAGCTCACCCATTCAACGATTCGCCCTCGCACAGTATTAGTGTATCAATGCAACCAGTGTGCGAGAAGACAGTGAGGGCGTGTAGGGGAAGCAGCTAGCTGCAGTTAGGGAAACAAATATTGCTTACTTCCAGGCATGTATCTATGAAATTGCTAGGCAATATTCATTTAACTATTATTTCATTCGTCAATTGCGACCAACCTCTCACCTCTCTGTTTTTTTCTACTCATTCCTGAGGAATGATTTAGCCGGACGACGTTACATGTAAGAGGCCTCTTCATATTTCACGTGCAGTAAAGGCTGTCAAATCAGGTGATATGATACTATACAAATAATAGATTGAGGACTTTGAAACCACTCGGTCAGATAACGGTGACTGAAATCAGGGTCGCAAACATCTGTACACGAATCGACGTGCGCTAAATATTAACTATGGTGACTGATTTCCAAGTGTATAGTTGAAACTAAAGCGCTTGGTTTAAAATTAGAATAAAGAGGTATCTACTCTACAGTGGGACTACATCAAATTTCAAAACACAGTAGGTTTATCTCCTAATCCATCTCTCTGCTTATGTCCTTGCAGGTTTCCAAACAAGGGGCATTAAGACAACTGTAATTAATGTCATTTACCAACTACAGGTAATTCAGTGGCTGATAGCATGAACAATCACTGTTTGACAGCTTGAACAACTCCAGGTACATCAGTGGTTGATAGCTTAACCAGCTTCAGATACATCAATGTTTTATAACATAAACAACTCCAGGCAAATCCGTGGTTGATAACATGAATCACTCTAGGCACATCGGTTGTTAATAGCATGAACGAATCCAGGTAGTTCAGTAGTTGATAACATGAACGTCTCCAGGTAAATCCGTGCAAGGTAACATGAACGACTCCAGGTAAATCCGTGCAAGGTAGCATGAACGTCTCCAGGTAAATCCGTGCAAGGTAACATGGACGACTCCAGGTAAATCCGTGCAAGGTAACATGAACGACTCCAGGTAGTTCAGTAGTTGATAGCATGAACGACTCCAGGTAAATTCGTGCAAGGTAACATGAACGACTCCAGGTAGTTCAGTAGTTGATAGCATGAACGACTCCAAGTAAATCCGTGCAAGGTAACATGAACGACTCCAAGTAAATCCGTGCAAGGTAACATGAACGACTCCAGGTAAATCCGTGCAAGGTAGCATGAACGTCTCCAGGTAAATCCGTGCAAGGTAACATGAACGACACCAGGTAGTTCAGTAGTTGATAATATGAACAGTTCCACGCAAATCCGTGATTGATAAAATGAACAACCACAGGTAAATCAGTTGTTGATAGCGTGAACATCTCCAGGTAAATCAGTGGTTGATTGTTTGAGCTACCCCCAGTAAATCATTGGCTGATGATGTAAACAACTTCACCCTCCTTTGCATCTAAGACAACCATGAATACTGTTGACGCATTATTATTAAATGTAGCTCCATGAACTTAGATAATCATGGATAAGATTTTAAGGTATATATTGTCTTTGTAAGGTTGTTATTGCTATTTCTTCTGTACTGACAACATTATGAACTTAATAACATGTACTTAATGACTAAAGGGAGGCTAGATGTGTTTGCCAGTGTAAAACAATGTTTTCTCATTTCATTTAACTGTCAATTACATGTCGTAGTATTGTCAAAATATACTTCAAATGTCACTGCAAGTCATAACAAATCATCTTCCGCCTGTATTGCTTATGTCCTTTTCCTATTGAATTGTTGTTGTTTTCAGCAGAGGTCAAGAGGGAGGGCAGGAGGAGCAATACATGAACATCCATTAAATTGCAGAAACATGGATAAAACATTTACAAACTGATCGATATGTTTATTTTCTAATTTATGATATGCCACCTAATAATTGGCAATCTGACTAGCAGAGACCATTAACATGTTAGTGTGAGTGGACAGAGAAATTCACTGACCATGTTAGTTTTATTATCGAATCATATACTTATAAGAACACACACTATTTGATCGCTATTATTGTTAAATAATATATGTCTTTAATTTAAGGTATATAATTGTCGAACAACTAATGTGCGCCAACCCGAATGTGCAATACACAGTTAGGGTGGACACACAAGGACAACTACGCTTCGATAATGGAGGCCGAGGCGAAATTGAAGTTGACGAAGCCGATAACAGTTCATTACGATTACGAAAAGTAACGTTGAGTCCATTGTTTCTGTCTGTACTCTACATCATAAGTTCTGAATCACTGAAGTAACATGTTGTGGTAAAGAGAACTAATCACAAACAGAACTCACCACAACATTGTTGATAACAACGGCTATGCTGCCACCATATCCGATCCCTTCCCTGTGCTAGGAGGCCAGGCTATAAATAACATCATGCTTCGGGTATTGCGGGCTCTCAATCGGTGTACACCTCAAGCGCATTAGCGTATTATAGAGAAGGTATTCATGTGTATTTAACACAGCACGTGGTGTTCACTTTCAGTAGTTGTCCATCAGGTGAACTGTCTGAACAATACAATTGAACAAGATGTCAGACAACGTGGCATGCTGTGGTCAACCAGGAAGTACCCTCTACTTATTTCTCCATGCTCCTTATCCATATTATCTATTGTGAAAATGCGTTTCTTGAAAACGATTTCCGATAAAAATGTCCAAAATACCACATGAAGACGGCATCTTTGTCTACCTTTTATGTTGTAGAGTGGTCGGATAGCCTAGTGGTCAAAGCGTTCCCTCATCACGCCGAAGATCTGGGTTCGATTCCAGGCATGGGAACAATGTGTGAAGCCCATATATTAATTATGACATTTGATTTATTTTAGTTTAGTATGGTTCGTTGTTCACCTTATCCTTTTCAGCTTCACAATTAGTCTTAAGGATATCACGCAATTGAGACGTGTGGGGATGGCAATTTGCTTTATTTGACAATCCCATGACGTCACAATAGTACAATGAAGTTCTATGTAAATTACCACTTTGTGTAAATTGATCAGTTGATTAAATCTCATTTGCTATATGTGTAGCTGTATAATATATGTGAACTGAATGACATTGTATATACATGTATATGTACGTGTACATGTTTTTGTGTATGTGTGTGTGGGTTGGGGTTGGTGACATGTTGTCACCATGTCTCAGAGCTCGTCATTAAGGGGATAAAACAAGCAGCATTAATATGGATTCAGTATATTGTGCCCATGTCGGGTATGCATGTTAGCATTATAAAACCTGCATTATGTCACGTCCTCGGTAGGGTCTATCTTAAACAGTTTCGGTCGGTTCTATCTGAACAGTTTTTGTCGGGTCTTTGGGCAGAACTGCGTTTTGTGAGGTATGTTGACATGGACAGTATACTATCCTATCTTTGAGTAAGAATGTGGATTATCCAGAACCAGCATATCAAACATCAAACATCAGGTACAACTCTCCACACGAACCTGGGGAAGCAAATACACTATGCAATTTAACATTAAGTCCAGCTGCATTAAATTCTCCACCAAACACTTGGTGTCAAGTTGCAAATGAAATCCCAAAATACGATTTTAAACTTCTACTTCCGCGATGGGAACCTGATCACAGAAGGGTTATTTCACAGGATCCACAAGTGGCCACCAAGGTTATAGTGACCCAGTCATCTATTCACCCTTATTCTGTTAATAATCAAGGCTGGTGGGGGAGATCGCATACAATTACAAAATACAAGGTAAGCTGACCTTAAGATTGCTTCTTTCTATGGGTAGGCATTGGTTGACCTCTGAGGCCATAAGATCTGAAGGTGATGTGGTCCGGAGCAACATGTTTGGCTGCCCGAAGTGACGCCATAGGGAAGCGGAAGTGAGGTCAAAAGTGACGTCAAACATCGCCGAAGGGGAGTCGGATGTGCCGTCATAAATATGATTGTGAATAATAAATACTAACTGGCATATGGTTCGATACGTGTGGCAATAATCAAGTGACCTCAGAACCGGACATTAGTGACAACATCTATATAATGGGAAACGAGTGTGACATCATTAGAGTCAGTGACGTCAGAATTAATGAGGCAGGTCGTCAATAAGGCTGACTGTGACAACATTAAAAGTGGAAAATATTCATGAAGATGTCACGAACAAAAGCGGTATGCCTCTGTCTGTCCTATAATCCTACTTCACTGGTTCTTACTATCTTGGTTTACTAGATGCCAGATCCCGTCAGTGCTGGTTGTCGAGGGTAATCAAAGTAATTATCAAGCATCAGTTATCAGTGCATATAATTGTAAGAATACGACCTGCATAACATCAGTAATTAGTCCCACCCCAATATATCTGCACCTAGTTGATGGGTTATTTTTCCAGTTGAATGAAAACTAATAAGATAAGTTGTCAGTGAGAAGGACGTAAGTAACCTAAACTATGTGATTGTGTGATGAAAGCCAAAACAGGATATTATGGCTATGATGTAAAAGGTGTACACATAGTGTTTATACCATTATACAAACTGGTAACTATTGTATGAATTAAAGTTTGCATCTTTACAATGTTGCCATTAATAGTGTTCATGAACTGAACACTTTTTTGAAGGGTCCGATGGTCTGGAACCATTTCTTCAACCTATTGGTTCATTTTCATAATCATTTAGTTTGCCTATAATGAAGTTTTGTTTTCTCGTTCATCTCTCGAGGCTACTATAGGACGCCTACACCGTGTGGAGTACACTGCATTAGGTAGAATAGGTCTCATAAACCAACGCGCGCAGACTAGCATGGAAGTATAAATCATGGACAAAGTCTGTGTTTGAGCCTCGTTATCTTTATTTACACAAGCATTGTCAGTTTTCGAGCATCGTAACTGTTTTGCCTCACCCGCTTCCTTCTCTTTTGATTTTGGCATTTGTGAGGATTGTTTGTTTTGTGTGTGCTTTAGTCTGAGAGTCGTATTTAGAAGATAGATGACTTCATAACAGGCCGCCATAGTGGACACATCAGACGAGATAGAGAACTAAAACTGATACATATATAAAAAGACGATAACGAATTTCCAGTCCTCCATCATTCATGCAGCATTGATCCCTTTTTTTAGCCAAAGATGATGAAACGTGTAACCTTATTCAGCGGCAATAAGCAAATTAGTCACATTTTTTTATTACAATCAGCTGGAGACAAATTTCATATGTAAACTTAAAAAAGCATACAAGCGTATGTAACAGAGTAATATTTGATCGTAAAGTAACAAGGCTAGTTTATGTGTGATTTAGTTCTGACGTAACTGTGATATATATTGTTAAATATATCTTAATAATCAGAGATAAATATACAATCAATAAGATGTAGATACAAAACAATATGATTAGTTAGCTATCACAACACGAACCTGTAATCTATTGGATAAAACATACATACATATTGTCAGATGAATACGATCAATACGAAAATATGTTGTCAGATGAATATGAATAATGCATGAATATGCTAACAGATGAATATGAGGAAGACAATAATATACATGCAATATCTGCCGCGGCTGAATTAATATAGGTTCGAAATGAATGCCACATTGATGATTATATGACCGTTACATCTATGTTAATCATCAACTGGTGATAAGTAGCAGACCGCTACTCCTGACGGAACACAGGCATTGGGTCCTGAACAAGGATTTACATTTGCGACTTCACCTTCAGCAGGAAAACAATCTGCTAAAACAGGCATGATTTGATTGTTTTCCTCTCCTTGGTTCATTATCGGCTGTTGACAACGAACGGCGATGTCTTCCTCTCGTATTTCACAATACCCATCTTCAGTCCTGTACTCGACAGCATTGTTCTGGTGACGAGCAGTGGCATGGTTGGTACTGTAAAATTAGAAGAAAAGATATGCATTTCAAGATCACAGGTTATTTTGAATATATATATATTGAATCTCTTCATTTTGCACCTCTTGGTCCGCTAATTTTGCTTTTATGGCCCCACATATCTTTTTTTGAAAAATGTCGTTGTATATCAAACAAATTTTGCAAGAACTAATAGTGTTGAAATTTAATAACATATATTTAGGGACAATGAAAATGTAAAGTACCCTAGTTTGATCCGTTTTAGCAAGTGGCAATTATCGATTATAAAATGAAACATGTATTCACATCAACTTCGAAAGAGGAGGACTTGTACAGGTAGTTGAAAAACAGAATAATAGCCTGGATTGGTGAAGTGGTTAGCGTGAGATATAGAGGTAGTGGTGTAGTACAGGTAGTCGGTGAAAGAGAAGCCTTTTGAGGTAGTGTTGGGTCTATGTAGGCATGACATTGGTGACAGCGGGAGAGATATGGGTTGTGGTAAATGGAACAGAAACATATTAACGTAGAAGTACGGGTCGGGGGCATTTGAGAAGTGGTCATCGTGAGTGATGACGTAGTAGTGGTTGCTGCAGCATAAACATATTGAAGGAGGAGTAGGGATCAACAGCGATTTCTGAATCGGTGTGTGTGTAAAAATCCATGGAGATGGTTGTGGTCTATGACGTTAACAAGAACCTAATTTGGGAGGTAAGCCAAATGTCGTAGTTGACTTTAATGTTTAAGAATCCCTACCGTTTCCTCCCCGGGTAGTTTATACATTATGCATATTATGACAACCCCTTTTTGTTTTCCATATTCATCTTATCTCCCCCAAAATGTCAATCTTTTCCCCAGTTCCCAACGCACACATCTACCTCTTTCAGTTCTAGAAAGTACCAAGTTGTTCATCTGATCTCTGAACGTCACATCTTCGAGTTTGCATCATCAAACTCCAGGGTTAATCCTCCCTGAGAGCGTCAAGTCGCTGGTTTAAGTCAGACGCAATGTTGGTGATTGTACTGATCACACTGATCACTTGTACTGACAACAATCAAAACGCTTTTACTTACCCAGAGTATTGAAAGCAGATGGTAGCATTTTAAGCAGACACTTTTAATAGCCAATAGCACATGGTTGATGTTTAGCTTTGCTGGGTGAGCTATTCCTCAGCTTGGCAATTGAAGGTTTGTTTTCTGTATGTTGGTATAAGGTATTAAGAGCTACAGCACACTGCAGTTATGGGTATAGTCTGTCTTATCAATAGGGGCGCATCTAGATAAACCTTTCTCAGAATGTACATTGCTTCGGTAGTGTCTGATCATGTAGTTGCCCCGATAGATCAACACTCTAATTTTGTTGCAATATTTATTTGAATACACACTGTTTTATCCTGCATTTAATACCCTTTACACTATGTTCATTAACGTCCGACGAGGTGGGATAACGAGACTGCACACTTCACTGGAGACTTGATGTTGGCCAGGAGGTCGTCTTTGTCAAGCTGGAGTGGTATTTTCGTTGTCGATATTTCCTCCTTCCTGGTTTTGGAAGATTGCTATGTGCATGGGTCTGGGCTATGGTCAGAAGTGTTGATGATAGCTGGACATGTAGCAGTAAAGCATTTCCATAGTATGGTGGAACCTCGTGTTTTACTAACGCTAACCTCGTGTTTTACTAAGGCTGTGGCCACCACGACTGGTAGGAGTAAACTCGATATATATTCTCAAGTGCACTTGCCATTTTGCAATGAACCTACTTGGTGTGCTCAGTATTTAGATGCAATATCTTTGATCTCTTGTCAACTTTCCGAAACAACCATCTTAATTATTGCAATGATCAAATTGAGTTAACTGAGGTACCGTTCATCCAGAGTTTAGTTCACTCACTGAATATGCTGCCCCCAGTGCTTGTAATAACACAGTAACTGTAAACTCGTTTACTAGTCCAAATTAGATTTTCATTGAATTAAAAACATTGTATGAAACATTGTATGAAATCAAATCGTATATTGAATTTATATAAGTATATAAATAAAATGTTATGTACACTTCATATATGAGTAACAGATTAACTATTGTTAATCTCCCCATTGTCGCCTCATTTACCATGGCTGACTGCACTTATAACCAGAACAATAGGCGGTGTCAAAACGGGAAGACCCCAATTAAAGCGGCATTTCAATGTTGTAAATATAAAAAGTGAATTACTTGAAAAATATGGCTGGTTCTAATTAGCTTGCGAAGTGAGCGACGTCAGCTTCCATTTTGCTATGGTGGATAATTTAAGTGATGTTTCCATATAAGTAGCTGTTAAGAACGAGGTACATGAACTATATGTAAAATATATACAGAATATAAACATATAAATTAATGTGAATAATGTGAAGTATCTAATTATAAATTGTGAACTTTTGCAACTGGAACAGTGAAAAACTGAGTTGCCAGACATTTGAACTTTCATCGAAACACGAGACGTTACCAACAGGATGGCAACACTCATTCCTTGCAACGAGGTGATGCTCCAAGTGTGATGTCACGTCAACAAGACCTCAATATTCGGTTTGTGCATCTACAGAATCGACAACAAACTGTCACATTAACAGCTCGGAAACTTCCTGTGTTGTGATCAATTCGTTGCAGAACCATACAACACTGGTTGAGGGAGCACAACGTCCTGCTCTGATTTCACCCTCTTTGCTTCCTAGACACGCCTTGCTTGGTGCAGACAGTACTGGGACTGTGTACTGGGATGAGGCAATTCTTCATATGGACAACTCTGAAGGTCGTGCAATGGTCTGCAGGCGTCCATGAGAACAAAATAGAGGCGCTTGCGTTAATCAACTTCGTCAGTGTGGGTTCAGAAGTGAAATGGATATTGTGTGGCTCATTAGTGTTACTTGAAGGTCATAATCTACAGTGACGACATTGTTCGATACCATATTCGACCCTTTGTGTAAATGCAACGTTGTAACGTCAATTTGCAGCAGGATTATGCCCGGGCACGGATTGGACATGTTGTAACATACGTTTTGAGATAGCATGACACTGCTGCACTGACATGGCGGACTGTTTCTCCAAATATTTCACCAATAGCATATGTTGGGGATGTGATGAAACAGCTGATATTGACATTGATGGGTTAGATGTTACTCCATCCTCCTTTAGTGTGTAGCGCTTTGGTTACCAGGTATGGGTTTGTCAACGAAATTCGTATTTAAGTAAGGAAGATCAAATCCAAACATTAGATTCTATTCAAACCTTCATTTGGTATTGTAAAATCATATCATCGAGTATCAACGTCCCCTAGTAACAATGTGTTGAATTGGCATCAACCTTGTGTGAAACATATACATTTACAACATATGTAGCTGTATCCTTTACTTGTATATTGTTGTGGATATCACGTGTCACTGACGTGGTTCCTGCTACAGCTGTGTTTCAATTTATGTGATATATATATTTATATATAATCTATATAACGTCATGAACCTAAACACATGATGTAGCACGTTCTTGCTCGCGCGTCATTGATGTCGTTTCTGGTTCTGCTGTGTCTGCATGCCCAGGTCACGTGACATGTTTGCATGCTGTGCCGACCTCAGTTGATCATAGCCAGAACAACTGGCACGTACTGGCTGCCTCCCACCAGTGAGCGGATCATACATTTTTGCTTCATCGACGACAGCATATTCTCGAGCATCAATGGCCTCTGGTGACACATGCGTGCAATGAACAGGAGAGACGTACTGCTAAAACCTGCAAGTTGATTACTTTTTGAGAATAATCTTCTCGAATTCACAACACTGTAATTATGGCCTTCTCTATTTTGGAGCAATTATTTCTATACCCAATTTCTCACTGAAAAGAAACTACCTGAGCCTTAACAATAAATGTATAAATGCATGAGTCCGAAAATATGTGAATTATGTGTTACAAACTTGGAAACTGAGAATATTAAGATTGTTATTTTCGATACGTTTAACTATTGATATTCACTGTAATTGTCATTGGTTTCATAATGACTTGCATGTAAGACTAGCAATATTAACAAATATCATGTTCAGGATGACATAGTTAGCACTCAAGTGCCCTGCACTGCCCAATCATAATATGGTGCACAAGCAAGGTCATCATTTCCTTGACTTACGGATAGGTGTCTCTGTGAAGAATTGATGAATGGAGAGTTACGCTGCAAGCTGTGATCCAAACCAAATGATGGTGAGTGTAGGTTTGACACCAAATAACTTATTCAATATTTAGATGACACTAATACACATTTCATATTTAGATCTATGCATTCAGATTCTGAGAGACAAACATATCACTGCAAAACTTTATGACAAGAAGGATGACTTCAACTTCCTATCAGTCAACTTTCAATTTATGCAGAGCAATATTCCTGCAGCTCCAGCCTTTGGTGTCTATATTTCATAGCTTGTGAGTCACAATCGGGCATGATCTTGATTTTCAAAGATCGTCATACAATCTTTGCTCACAAGCTGTTTGATCAAGTTTCCAATATTCAAAGCATCAGTAAAACTTTCAAGTCGGTTCGTGCAAAGCTTATGAAAGACATTTCCATATTTGATTACACGATTATGTCCGATGAAACTATGTACGTATTTTCACGTATTTTGTTTCAGGTGAACAATTGCCTTGCTCGTGCATGTACTTATAACAAGGGACACCGAGAGGACAGGATTCCCGAACACCCTGTATCATCACAATTTGATAGGGATATATAAACCCATGGTGATAAAATAGTTCGAATCGTGCAATCGACTCTGTGTTTAGAAGACATTTTATTTTATTGGTATGTCAATGATTTTGTCACCTTTATTAAATATATATAACTGATGGCGGATAACACAAGACTTCATCAATGCTTAAGTTGTTGAGCTGTTTCGTACATCAATCAGCATTAGTCAAGCTTTATCATGGCGGCCTGTCAATAATTGAATCTGGGCCAGGTAAACCAGTTGATGATGTCATGTTCAACATTCCATGTCATCAAGTTAGGATGAGACACAGCCATCAACACCACAGTGGCTGGCCACCCTATTGGTCCCAAATTTAGAAGCCTGCACTTACGACAAGCCTGGCACGGGGACTAAAGGACTCATGGAAATGAAAAAATAAACTGTTTTGATGGATTTAATAATCGACACAAAGCATTACGTAGATGTAAATACGAAATAACAAAACAACTGGAAAAGTACTAGTCTGGATGTGCTAGTTTTATCTCAGTGCTCAATAAAAAATGTACTTTACAGGAGGTAATTTGTAGGCACTTTCAACATTCAAAAATAAAACTAAGTCCAAACTGACATGGCAGAAACAGGCTATAGGCATTGTGCTAATTAGCCTTGAAAACAAATATCAAAACAACAATAAAAAATAACAGCTATGTTTATGTACATAATAATAATAATGACATGTAAGTTATTGTTTGAGAAGGGAATACGTTACTTTTACGTTCTGATATTTTGACGATGATTCACTATCCCACAATGCCACTCACAAATCTTTAACCACTGACAAATCACATGCACGTGGCTTTCAAGCACCTGTTTTCACCTGTCGTCAAAGTGTCATAGGTCATGGAATTTCACCTTGATCTACTAACACCTGGTTATGCTCAGTTTCACAATAGTTTTGTTCATATTTTTACACACTTTTACGTGTAAAAAGACATAAAAAACCTTTGATACGCTGTAGTTGTGCCAATTAGTACTAATTAGTACTAATTAAGTTGTTTAAATATTTATATATTTTGTATATAAACTGCATTTAGTTAACATCTGAGATCGAAAAAACATTTCTTTTTCATTTCCGTGAGTACTTTTATTGTGAAACTGAACATGGGGATACTGCAGACGGTGGCTTGTTCACATGCTCCATCACTAACCTGTTTCTCCTCGAGCGTTGACAATATCGGCAGAACACAACAAGGGAGATCGTAACAATGAATAGGAAAGATGATGTAGCTAGTCCTATAGCTACTCCAGTAAACAGTCCCCCGTTATCACCTGAGGACGAAAAAGGTTGATTTGCAAATACTGTCTGGGTAGAATAGCGGTGTTTGCAGGGTTAGGTTTCAGACAGAGGTAGGTTGAGTGGAAGGAGTTGGGGTACTGTAAAGGTGCGGTTGGGAGAAGTTCGAGGTTCTGGAGGGATCGGTCCAGGTATTAAACATATGGGTAGGGGTGGGTAGATGTGAGAAATGAGTGGTGTGTGGAAGAATTAGGGATAGTGGTAGTTTCATGATATGTCGAGCAGTAAGTGTGCAATATAGGATGTATAGTAGATCTAAGACATGGGGTAGTGAGAAGGGGATTGGTAGGCTTATGCAATGGGGAAGCAGGAGGTCTGAGGGACCTGACAACTGGCAATCTAGATCACATACTTTGTATACTCATCTGACCAGTGTAAATTGGCATGGCTCCCATGCCATTTAGAAAGTGGTCAAATGTAAAAAAAAAAGGCACTTTCGGAAATCCAGTTGGTATAAATAAATTACATGAAATTAAACCAACTATTGGTAACACCTACTTGTGATGTCAGTCATAATATGACGAAGTCGTATTGGCCATGAATATCTCTTGAAAAGTGTGGATCCTCCATTTTGTACTCCTTGTGATAAGAGTATCACGGTCAAGCATATCCTGCTTGACTGTATTGATTTTGCCATCACAGGGAATAAATATTTCAAATCGTCATCTATTTAGGATCCTTTTAACAGTATCAATTCTCGTGTAATCATTGTTTTTGTTTTTTTTAAGAAAATAGAGTTGTTTGCAAAATGTTGATTGTGTCTTGTAAAATATAAATGTTTTATGATTGGTAGATTTAATAAGCAGCCCTCCTGAGAGGGTACGTAAGTTCCACTTATTTCAAGGTTAATTTAGATCTACCATGTTTTTAATCGTAGAATATGTGTCATTTTAAGATGTTAGACTAACTCTGCCAATAATCTACAACACTTGAAGGGACGATGTAAATCCTGCTGGGGTCGATGCAGGTAGAAAAGGTGCTGTAAGTCCCCATGGTCCCCAGTATGGTGACCTCCCTTCAGCTGCTGGCGATCTAAAGCCCGTTTTGATCATGCTATTGTTGTGTATAAGTGCTATTCTTTTTTTATGATTCCATACTAGTTTTAAAATCTTTATTTTCTGTGAAAAATCCAGTAATTTTACTGTCTTCGTTGGCAGTTTTTTATTTAAGTTTAATTGTATTTATTACATTTAACCCTTGATAGTCACGATATGGCTGAAATATTGCCGATGTGGCTTAAAATTTCAACTCACTTACTCACTGAGTGAAGGGGTTCTCGTACCTTTTTGGGGATGAGTCCCATCTGGGATTTGAACCCACACTGCCATTGCGTGTTCAAATCTTTCACCCATGAGAGCCGTGCCAATTTACCCTTGTCAGAGGGGTGCACAAAGTTTGTGATCTAGACTAACAGTTGTCGGACTTTCATTTTTTCGTGGAAGCCTCAGTGGCTTAGTGGGTTAGATCGCTAACTTTGTGTGCTGTCGAATCGATGCCTCATTCTGGCAGTGTGTGTTCGAATCCCGGACGGGACTCAACCCCAAACATTTCGAGAATCTTGACTCAGAAAGTGTCATCTCAAATATAACATTTGCTTTATATTTGACCACTTTCTAGGTGGCGTTGTGTGTTCAAAGAAGGTTTATGACAACAGCGCATACAGTAGTTTTAATGTGCTGCACGCAACAGTGACACACATGTGTGTAGGTAGTGATTCATGATTTTGGCCACTTTAAAGAAGGTCGAGTAATCTCTGTTGACCATTAGTTCTGATTCTGCAACAGTTGGCATGATGGAAACTGGCAGTGGTCAATACGATCAACGTTTCACAGTCTGAGATGAGCAGACAATGGATTAAGTACCAAGAAACCCAAATATGTTGGCAATCGACCTCGTTCAGGGCGTCCAATTTCAACGACTAGAGTACTTCATCGATTGTTCTGATAACAGGCTCTACAAAATCGAGCTCAAATGGCGAATGAAATTGCTGCAAACTTTCATCATGCAACTTGAGTTCCAGTTACGGGTCAGGCAATAAGAAATCGTCCACAAACAGGTCAGCTCCATTCTCCATGGCCACGTGTTGTGTCGACCCTTACACATCGTCATACTGACAACATACGTCAATGGTGTACACAACATCTTAACTGGAGTAATCATAGCTAGTCACGTCATGTTTTGAGATGACTACCGATTTACTTGCACTGCCATGTTCGTGTCACCATTATGGCTAAGTGAACCCCATTCCATTTATGGGACAACATACTGACACCCTTTGTTGTTCCGTTTGCGAGGCATGTGGGTCGACGTTTAGACTTTTGCCATACTTTCCATGCACGAATCGTCAATGCTCAGATTGAGCAGTACAACATATATATAATGTTGTTGCCAGCAATGAGCCCAGACCTTGCCCCTAATGGACGTGTCATGGACAGGACAGGGAAGCGTATACGTCAACGTTATAGGCCACAGTCCACGTTGGCTTAACTTGGCCAGGCGCTGCAAGAGAATGAGACAGACTCACTTAAATCGCCATGGGGGACTGATACACAGTATGCCTCGTCGAGTGCATTCATGTTTGACAAATCATCCAAGAAACGTCAACGTCTAAATTTCCCATCGTCCTTCAAGAAAGGTGGTGGTCATAGCATCCACTGGCATTCCTCACTACCGGTTGTAATGTGTTCCAATGTTCGACCATGATTATCATACAACTATTACTAGAAACTAATGTCAGATATTTGCGAGTGTCCCCTACTTTTTGTAAAAGAATGAGAGACAGATTGGTGTACCGGAAACATATTGAAGCAGGAGTAAGGGTCAATGATGGTGACTAAGGTCATAGCAGAGATTTCTTATGGAATGAGTGGTGTCTTCAGTGAGACACCAAGCTGTCTGTGCACCATCATTCAAAGCTGTGTTACTTAGAGCAAGTTCTGTGCAGGCGTTAATAATATTCACTATATCCAAACATAAGATAATACCTACCAGGTTTCTCATGACAACCAGTCCCGTAGTAGGAGTCGACACATCCAGACACACAGAAGGAGCCCAGCTGACAATACCCTTCCTCACAACCACCTGGACATGTTGTGCATCCATCTCCTGGATTATCACATGATATGTTGCAATCCAAACCTTGATATCCTGGCACACAGCCGTCAGTGCAGTTACCAGAGCCAGTTTTGTTATTTAAAAGAGTGCACTTCTCATTCTTACAGTTGTCACTGCAAATTGATCTGCATTTCGGATCAAAATACCCCGTGTCACACTCAGTGAGGCAATGTCCCGTTGTGTTGGCACAGTCTGAACAGTGTTGGTTATCAATGCATGGGTCAACTGAAAGTAGAAATGCAGATATGTATTAATATGCGTGTGAATAAGGTTCAATGTATCCTGAATACGATGTTTAATACAAATTGAAGGTGTATAATTGTGGACCTGAACAGCTGTCTAAAGGTTTCGATTCTTCTCTTGCGTAAAGTAGTTTGATGAACTCTCTGTGCGGCCAAGCTAACAAATGTATCCCGCCACCATGTTTATCATTTACACATTTTGAAAACAAATGAAATCCAGACGCTTTATTTCTTTGAGTTGCATACTTATAGTTAGGTTGTGTGCATCACGTACACCTAAAGGCAATGTTAATACACACTACCAGACACCCTTTCGCTGTAAAGGACCCCATTGTAAATATAGGCGATATGCAATATACATAGATCATAAAGCTAGCAATGCGCGTCATACAAAACATGGTTTTCTTTACTGAATGACATTGTTGTTTAGCACTTTTAAGTGTTTGTGGTGGGTGCCACAAGTGAGACAGTGGAGTCTCTACAGGAACATATTTCTTATGATTATGGAAACAATTTTGTTTATCCTGCAAAAAGACTACCTTAGTGGGACACCTTTTCTCGTCAGGTTTAACTCGTACCAGCATATTAAGCTATTGTACTGTGATTATGAACTGCAAGATCTGATTGACTCATGCATCTCATGTTGTAGCCTAAATGATATTTCAACCGGTCATAAGACAACACCTACCATGTCTCTCTACACAGTCAGTCCCGTACGAGGAGTCTACACATCCAGACACACAGGAGGAGCCCAGCTGACAATATTCTCCAATACACCCATCTGGACATGCTGTACAGCTGCCTCCTGGACTATCACATGGTATGTTGCAACCCAAGCCTTGATATCCTGACATACATCCCTCAGTGCAGTTACCAAAGCCGTTGCTGTCAAGTACGCATTTGTGATTCATACAGTTATCACTGCACTCTGAGCTGCATATCTGATCATAATACCCAGTGTGACACCCAGTGAGGCAATATCCCGTCGTGTTGTCACAGTCTGAACAGTGATTTGTTTCATTGCATGGGCCAGCTGAAAGTAAAGATGCAGGTATATATTAATAGTTGTTTTGTGAATAAGACTGAAGTGTGTTGATTATGGTGATAAGTGAGTGAGTGAGTGAGTGAGTTGGGTTTAACACCGCTTTTAACAGTATTCCAGTTATATCTTGTTGTATGGTGATACGTACGAATTGAATTGGAAAATGTGTCACACACGACACCTGACCAGCCATTATATGTTGAACGCTTATGCCAAAAAGAATACTGTTTGATGTACTCTTTTTAACCGACTACCCTGACAACGAAAATTATTTGCCGTCATGTTTCATCATTTACCGCATTTTGAAAATAAACGTTTATTCACAATACAATTCTAACTTAGCTCCAGACAACTACTTATTTTCGCGTGGGCTCTGTGCATCCCGTACATCTAAATTAATTCCCTCAAACACGCACGCACGCACCGTACGCATGCATCGCACGCACGCACCGCATGCACGGACGCACGCACGCACGCACCGCACCGCACCGCACCGCACCGCACCGCACCGCACCGCACCGCACCGCACCGCACCGCACCGCACCGCACCGCACCGCACCGCACCGCACGAACTACCATATGAAGACACTACAAAGACAATCTCAACAATATATTATTTTACCTCTAATAGCAAACATTAAGTACGCTATCCATATCATTAGCGCGGCGGCCATTCTTTTGCCTGAAACTGACGTGAAAGAAGAAACATTTGATAAAACATGCATCACCCATTAAAACACAAAGTAAGAGAACACTAAACAAAGTATAAACGTTCTGAAAACAAGGTGCTGCAGATGCAATGGACATGTTGATATTTACCTCCTCTCTGAAACTGAGAATGCACAAGACAAATAAACCCTCAGCATGAGTATTTTGTGGTGTCCAGAACATCATAAATGCTCTTTTATTATCATCGACATGTACTTCCATTATGTCGTATTTATACACTGAAGCTTTCCGTTGATACCTTATGCTGAAGAACTGTATGTGGACCAAATGAAGGAGTTTACAATTGACGTCACATCGGCAACATTTCAGCCACATCGTGACGAGTACTGTATGTGGATCAAGAATGGCCTATATCATACATGTGTCAGAGGGGGCTGGTAATTTAATATTTTAATGCATTATTTTATGTAAATATCTTATCAGTGAAATTTAGACAATGCTATATAAGAAGGCACTTTTAAGAAAAACACATTAGTTCTTTACATCGAGGGAACTAAGTTATATATTCAAGTAGGTGGTCTCAGATGTTGACAAGGAACAACTCTGAGAGAAACCCCAAAGATGATGATGGCCTTAGATGTTTACAAGGAACCCGTGTTGGAGAAAAACCCAAAGATGGTGGTGGTCTTAGACATTTAGAATAAACTTCTGTGGGAGGAAAGCCCAAAGATGGTGGTGGTCTTAGATATTTAGAATAAACTACTGTGGGAGGAAAACCCAAAGATGGTGGTGGTCTTAGATATTTAGAATAAACTACTGTGGGAGGAAAGCCCAAAGATGGTGGTGGTCTTAGATATTTAGAATAAACTACTGTGGGAGGAAAACCCAAAGATGGTGGTGGTCTTTGATGTTTGGAAGAAACTACTGTGGGAGGAAAGCCCAAAGATCGTGGTGGTCTTGGATGTTTAGAAGAAACTAATGTGGGAGGAAAGCCCAGAGATCGTGGTGTTCTCAGATGTTTAGAAGAAATATGTCGCTCGAAATGTATTGACTGTCAAACAGCTCTTCACCAAACAATATAAACATTGACTACCCTTTTCAAAATCCAATCCCGTGTATGGATACTTTTATCGGGAGACATTTTTCCTTACAAAAATAATCGTAGATGACCTATTCACTGATATTTCCAAATAGAAACAAGCTGACTAAAAATTTACATTTTGAGACTCAATTAATATGATCATGCCTTTTTTCAATTGAGGAAGTTACAAATACGTATGTGACACTGATACCTTTCCCCCGATAGTTAACCGTTAATACTGACCTCTTGCCCCCAGGATATAAAATCAGATGTTATGTACAACCACGTGTAAATTTGATAGATTGAGTGAAACAGGTTGCATGCATGTGTTGTTACCATGCCAATCTGCATCATCTCAATAATGTGGAACATGTTCTCTGGATGCATATAGCACCGAACATTACACTCTGTGCACGAAGCCTCCTTTCCAAATAAAATTGACAAAACCCTTTTCTTAATTATAACAATGATCAGCTGAAACAGTGAGTCCATTGAACGTTTCTTTAAAAAACAACAGCCTTGAAAAAACCCCATGTTGACCCATGTTAATATATTATGAGCATCGCCCCTATACCAAGCCGCCATGCATAGAAACTCAACAACACAAGTTACCTTGACACCACTATTTTAGTATATGTTTCAAACAAGTAAAGTTTGGTTTTCAATATTGTAGTACATGTATGAAATCAAGTCACAAACACGCAACTGCTACAAAAAAGCATGCATTCTATGCAAACACTTACTTTTATGCAAGCCCCATGCATTTCACTACCTAAGAATGGGTATTAAAACATGTGCCTTAACGGGATTCCATATGCACTGTTTAGCATCGTGCTGACAACAACCACTCAGAAAAACAAGAACACTACTCAATTATTCAACATTACGAAATTCCACGCCTGTCCGAAAATGAGCGTCTGCGAGCCATTGGTATGCTTGAAGCAGTATCGAGTCAACGTGATGTTGCAAGACAATTTAACGTCCACCGAAACACCATTTGGTGTTTATGGCAACGTTGGCAACAGACGAATGCAGTCAGAGACCATCCTGGGAGTGGCAGGCCACGCATAACCAATAATCGACAAGACTACTGGATTCGAACAGCACACCTACGAAATCGATTCCAGCCAACAACAGAGACTGCAAGAAGCATCCCTGGCCTTGGACGAACATCTTCACCATCCGTACGTCGTCGCCTCAGATGTGCGGGGATTGTCGCCAGAAGACCCGACAGACGTCCCATCTTGACAGGAAACCACCGCCAAGCACGTCTACAGTGGTGCAGACAGCGTCTACGCTGGACGGCCATGCAGTGGGGACAAGTTCTATTCACTGACGAGTCTCGTTTTCACCTCAGCCACAGTGATGGACGGATTCGAGTGCACCGACGTCGAGGTGAACGTTACGTCAATCATTGTGTCATAGAAGAAGATCAGTTCGGGGGCGGCAGCATTTTGTTATAGGGTGGGATTACAGCAAGACAGAGGACCCGTTTGATAGTGGTAGAGGAAAATCTCAATGAACAGCGCTACCGCGACGAGATCTTCGGCCCTGTTGTACTACCGTTTTTGCGTCGTCATGGCCCAGGCATTACCTTTCAACATGCCAACTGCTCGACTTGATCAGGATTCTCTCCAACAAAACAACGTGAATGTCATCCCCTGGCTGGCTCGCTCCCCTGATCTCTCACCAATCAAGCACATGTGGGATGAGATGGATCGGCGCCTTCGACGTCAACCACGTGTTCCACAGACACTCCACGAACTTCGAAACATGCTCCAGCAGATATGGACAGATATCCCACAGGACTTTGTGCGACTCCTGGTCCATTCCATGAGACGAAGATGCGTTGCTTGCATCGCAACCAGAGGTGGACACACACGCTATTGATTTGTAAATTGACATTTTGGCACGTTCATGTTTTTGTTTTTTATGAAATCACGCATTTTCTGAAGTCAGTATGGCAAATTAAACCATTTAAACACTTACAGGAGTCTTTTATCTGTTTGAAACCGAAATTGTTTCAGATTTGGTAAAAAACATAACTTTCTTTGCATTAAATCTTATTCAATGTCACAGGAACTTTTCTTGTTCAGTATATGTATTACCAACACACATTTTTATAGAATGAAGATTTCCGGTTCATGAAACAGTCACTACTTTCAACTTCCTATGCATTTTCATTGACAGAGGACCGCCCGCGTCGTTTAATGGATGGAGTTGACGGGAAGAAGAAACTGGGTGATTCATACGGAGTCAAGGTCATGCTATTGTCCTATATATGACAGGGCACTATTACACGTCATGCAAAGAAATAATGCCAACAATCACATTTTTGATGAAATAAGTCACCGGAACCGAAGGAACTGGGTGGCAGGGATTAGGTTTTAACTAAATGCGAGTAAATATGTATCATCCAATGACGGTCACACTAGACTGCAGAACCTCACCCTCAGGTACACACGTCTCATCATGTGGTACAACGGTTTCACCCACTAGTACAAACGTCTCATCCTAAAGAACAGCTATGCCAGCCTGTGGTGCCAACTCTCTGCCTTGAGCAAATAAGCCTCATCCTGGTGTACATGCGTCTCACGCCGAAGACCCGGGTTCGATTCCCGACATGTGTACATGCCTGTCCCTTTCGCGAACACCTGGTACCATCACAGACTGTCAGTGATGCATCACTACGTTAAAGTTTTGTATTTACGTAAGTATATAACTCTCCGCCAGCTGGTGATAGATACGATTGTATTCAAAGTAGACTTCCAGATATTGATCTATCTCTTGTATCTCTTTAGTATCTGTCCCTAAGGCGTTGAATTCTGCTATTGTAGATGTTAAAACGATGGATTACTGACGACTGAGAATCTCCAGCGTCTGTTCGTGTGATAGCGTCATTTCGAGTTTCAAGGTCTAGACGTGGCATATCAACAATTACTCACAGTTCAAGCAACATTACAGTTTCCGGAAATAATTCCACCTTTTATACCCAACACCCATGCCTTCAATTTACCCTAACACGGAGTGTGAATTGCATGCAAATATTAGTCCAGGCTTCTTTTGTGACTGCCATTCATTCGAAAGCATGGTTTCGTTTATAATAAGGACGTATTTAATTTGACTTGAACAAATAATACACTGACACATCGCACAACAACAACGGATGAAGGATTCTGTTCCCCAAATACACATATCACTAATGAAACATACTTCCGGTATTGTACAAGCTAAACAAACAGTGAGGATACAGGGAAATTCAAATTGCTGTGTTCAATGTAGTTTCTGTTGAATTTAAAGAAAACAAACACACTCAGTTTGAGCAGACCACACAGATGGTGCGAACATAAAAAAAGTTTAAATGATGTGATGCGTGATGTAATCAAATGTATATTCGGGTTCCTTTCGAATAAACGTTCTACATTTCTACAAGACACGTGTAGACGCGTTACAGTAATGCTGCACTGATGTAATGAATATGATGAAATGCTTCCTTCTGACACAATAAAGATCTCATCCCTCTCTCTTTTGTGTAGCTTTGAGACTAGTGGCAGATTAGTGTCGGGCGAAACTGGAAACAGTCAACATGGGAAATTGCATTGAAAAGCATTTCACGCTCACACAAGTGCCAGCACGCATATATCTTCATATTTTAATGTCTGATCAGTTGAATGATGTGTTTTTACAGGTCCTGTTGGCTGGCTTTTATTTATCAATTCCAGTCCTTACATTTCCACGAGGTTCAGCGTTTTCACAACACATGCAAACAGTGAATGGTAAATATCGAACGTGAACACAGTGAAACTGAATAGCTGGTTTTCGCCATTGAAATTAAATGAATGTTGTTGCCATTTGTCAAAAGCATATTCTGCTGGTGTGTTATCCCGAGGATTTAGAACCCGCTTCACGATTTACAACAGGTATCAGTTCACAATACC